TCCATTCTAATTTTTTTTTAATATATATATTTTTTACTTCTATTTTGTCATACTTTTATAAAAAAAAATCTCACTTAGTTATTTTCTTTCATTGGATTCTTGTCCTTTACAAACATTTGCTTCTAAAAAAGTTCTGAAGCTATTCTAAAGATCAATAAAAATCCTTCTAATACCAAACATTGTAAATAGAATCAAAATATATTTACTTTTTTCACCAAGTTCTAGTACTACACCTTATATCAATGCAATTTTTTATATTTTTGTGCAAAATAATAATAAGCTATTAACAAAGTATCTTAGAATAATAATATAATTTCATCAAAAAATATCATATCTAAATCTTCTTAATTTTTTTTTGTCTATTCTAGAATCCATAGACAATATTGCATTAGTTCTAATTAAATCCTTAGAAATCTTATAGGTAGTCATTATTTATCAAAAAAATTAATCACAATAAATAAATTTTAAAAAATAAGAAAACCATTGAAGAAATAATAAATTTTAAAACATCAAACAAAGTGCGGCATACTCAATAAAAGAGTTTAGAATTAAACACCTTTGATCTGACAAAAGATGAAGATATAAAGGCAAATTAATAAAAATTACTTTTTAGAAATAATTTTATTATTAAAAATATAGTATTTATTAAATTACAATTACTCTTGTAGTTTCTTCCTAATCTTCTATTTTAAGTTTTCAATTAAGTCTCAAATTAATAAAGCACTAATCAACAAATTTCTAAAAAATAAAAGATCCTTTATTGGTTATATTTCTTTTTAAGATGGAAAGCCTAGTGGATATAGTAATCTCTCTATTGACTATCATAACTAAGACAAGAACTATGATTAAGCCAAATTATCAAGTATTAGTTATTTATGGCTTCAAAGAGACTGAATAATTATGCCTCAAGGATTGACTTGCACTATCTTATGTAATAGAGGGATTGCTTGACTTATCTTTATCTTAAAAGCAAAGGCAAGGACTACAAATATGCTAAAACATTTAGCACAAATCATTCATGACGTCAATTGCATAAGATATTTATGCCTTGAAAATAAGCCCATATTTTCTTATTTACTTAAATACTTGCTCTACAAAGATAGAAGATATCTTTAATTATATTAAAATGGCAAATAAGACCTTATATTGCTTAATCCATATACCTCAATTATAACAACATAAGGTTAAATTTTTGTAGAACTTTCAACAAATGTAAAACCTAAATATTAATGGATTTGTTTGATATGATTCTATAACCTTGGTCAACTCTCATAAGAAGGAATTAAACAACACACTTTTTTTAAGAGCTATATTGGCCAAGTAATGGAACCAAAGACCTCTAATGCATATAATATTGTAATCTATTTTGGATTATTATATGTAATAGATATCATCTATGTAATAGATATCATCTATATAATATGTGTTTTATTTTAACTTAGTATATATGATAAAATTAGAAGTATTATTTATTTTTTTAAAAAAATAGAAAAACTAAGTACAATTTATTATATGAAAAAGATGATTATTCCTTACACGATCAAAATAATAATAGTGATTATAGGAATTCTATACAAAGACAAATAAATAAACATTCTAATCAATTCTCTCTTTTATAAGGTATAATTTTGAATTCCTTTGAGTTTTATAGTATGCAAATCAACTCTAAAGCCTTCTCATCTATAAATTCTCTTGATTTTAGAAGGAGTAAGAGAATAACAACATTGCAAGACAAAGAGAAATTATGGTCTTATTTGAAATTTTATTTATTTCTATTTGATGCTTTTAAACAAAGAAGTGATCTAAAATATTCTTGAAACAATAAATATGAGAATAATTGGATTCTTATAAGATTAATAAGCCTTTTAAATTATTTTTATTTTTATATTTTAAAAATATATATATATATATATTTTATAATAGTAAATATTATATTATTAGACCAACTTCTAATTAAGTTTATTATTTAATTATAAAAATCTACTCCTTGATATTTGCAATATAATTTTTTTTTTTCAAAGATCTACAAATGATTTAACAATTAATAGAAATTTGGACTCATTTTAAAATATGGAGTTTTTTCATTATTAAAATGAGAAATTTTTTTTGTTTTTAAAAGGCGTTTTGTAAAGAATAAGCTTTCTTGAGAACAAAAAGGCATTTCAAACTAAAGAAAAATTTAAGGTATTCTAGTTACAACTTCATGCTAATTCGTAAGATTTCAATGCACAATGCCAATTAAAATAAATTCAATCTAAATTAAATCAGTTTGAAGAGTGGCAATAAGAAATACAACATCCTAAAGCAAGACTTTATTGGAGACAAGTAGGCAATAGTAATGGGACAAAATTCTTTAAAGTTGTTAAAATATTTCATTTTTGTTTTATAATTATAAAATTAAGAAACGAAGAAAAAATCTATCTTTAAGACTCTTTAAAAAAAATATATATGTCTTGATTAATATTCTAGTTTCTACAATATATATATATATATATATATATATATATATATATATATATATATATATATATATACCTAAGAATCTTTATACACACTATTAAATATCTTCAAAAACAAATTAATGACAAAGAAAATATAGACCTTTTGATCTTTTGATTTCAAGGAGATTAAAGATATTATTAAAAAAATAACCAAAAGCAAGGCCCTCAAGTTGGATGATATTAACATTGAATTTAATCAAAAAAATAGAATATAATTAAAAAAATAACATCTCTATGATTAATCTAGCATTGACTAGTGGTGGTTTTTATCAAGTATTATCAAAGAAACATTTTTCTTCTCTATAAAGGCAAAGCTAAATTATTATTAAGCAACTAAAAACTAATTACACTTTTTAATATTACTTATGAAATCTATACCAAAATCCTACCAAAATAACTTCAATATGTTTCAATAGAAGTAATCTATGCCAACAAAAATTCATTTTTCTCCCAACATATTTTTTTGGATAATATATTTGTCATACAAGAAACAATTAGTTAAGTCAAAGAATCAAATAAGTCTCTCTTGATTTTAAAACTTATTTTTTCAAAAGCAAGAATAAAGACTCATTAGACTTTTTATTCAAAGCATTAGAAAAATTAAGTTTTAATCAAAACTCTCTTTAAAAGTGGTTGTATTTTGTCTTATAATCAAAATTCTCTTTAAAAGTGGTTGTATTGCTATTAATATCAATGGATCTTTCATAAAGTATTTTTTGCTAAAAAAATTATTGCAACAAGGTAGTTATTTAGCTCTACATCTATTTTTATAATGATAAGAGAGATTTTAAATTGTGCCATTCAAAAAGCTATCATAAAAATAAAATTAGAAATTAGAAATTAAAAACTTTTTGAGTTTCAATTAGAAAATAATTAATCGTTATAAACACAATTCAATAATTCCAATCAAAATATATGAAGATAATATCAATACTTTGGTTAAGGTTTTAAAACAATTCAGCTCAACATCTAGTTTTGAAATCAATTGATCTATATCAATAACATATTGGCAATTTTAGAAAATCATCAAATCATATTGAATTAATAATTTTAGATAAGCATGGGCTTTATCAAGTAGTATCAACAAATTATTAAAAACACGTTTTAGCATCTTTCTTTCCTCTCTAAATGTAGACCAATTTTTTATCAATTGAATATCATATAAGTTAGAATATATGTATTCTATTAAATTAAATATAAAAAGTTGAGTAGTCATTCTAAACAATATTTTCTTCTCTTCTCTTTTCTATGTTTCTTCCTATCTATTTGAATTGGATCTTTAAAGGCTATTTAGAAAAAAAAATTTAATTAATCACAAAAAAAATATTATTACTTATGATCTAACTTCCTAAAAAATAATTATGAAGTATGAAATAGATTCTTATGGTGGGATCTTACATATCCGTCTATTGAATTAAACGTTCGTTTGGCTAAAACACTTATTTTTTATATCCAAAAAATTTACAAAGAATAAAATACTTGTTTAAAGATCCTTCATAATCCATTTCTTTTTAAGAAGCTTTACCAAAGTATAAAATATTCTATGGTCATAGAAACATATATCTTTGGATGATTTTACACTCTTATATTTCTAGACCTTAGAAGACTTTTTTTCAATTGGATTGGATTGCACTTAAGGGATAAAATTAAGTTTGGCTATATACATTGATTGATGATCAACAACTATTGGTAGTTTTTTAATTTCTTATTTAGCTTGAAGGTATAGACAAAGACAACTAGTTCATCCTCCCACATCCCATAAAAATATTTTTTTTCTAAATAAGAACTTAATCACAAGTTCTATACCATATCAGTAAAATTTCTAAGGCCTTAGATTCCCAAATCTCTAGGAATATTAAGACACTAGTAGTGGACTTAAAGAAAGTAGTATGAATGTCTCTAAAGACAAAGGAAGTAAGCAAAGTTATTTTAGGAACCATTTTTTTTTTTTTTTTTTTTTTTTTTGTTTTTTGCCTAATTTGTGATCATACATTTGATCCTAACTTGTATTCTTAGACATCAAGAGAAGACTTAATGACATGTTTAGCTAAATTAGGAAGAATAATTTTGCAAAGATTTTTCTTACCTCCAACACATCACAAAAATAAATTGCAATGTTAGACCAAAATTTTAAATTTAATTTGAAGAAGGTCTAAACTCAACCCTGCTATTGTAGAGAAGCTATATTTATCTAGCACATTTGGCACAAGAGTATGGCAATAAAGATAGAGAAGAAATCTATTTCTTAATGTTAATTGCAAGATCTGTTCTTCACACAAGCCAATATCTATTATACATTATTTATTTTTGGAGGTGCTTACAAGTACAGAAATTTTGGGATTGGTCTACTTCCCTCTTTTATAAATTGACGTCAACTTGTTAGGAAGAGACTATGGAAGACTTTCTCTTGGAAACAAGACATTTTTGCAGATATAATCACATATTCACATATTTTTGAAAAATTTGGTCATTACTTTGGATTGCAATGCTTGTGGACGATTTGGATTCAAATGTATACGTTTGTGTTTGAATAGAAAGTATGGAATGACGTCCATACTAGAACAATGATTCATTTCAAAGTGAATCAAACCCTACATTAGCACAAGACCTTGAGCTGAAGACCGACTGCTACAGCAACAAAAGACAGAACCACAAAGAAATGGACGAATCAGGCCTCGCAGCCCAACGCAGTTACTTTCCCACAACCTCCGCCTCAAGAGAACATAAGATCGCCTCTCTTCATCACGAAGCACACTCCTCCACCCAACCAACTACAATCCACCTCACCATCCCCACGTTTGTTGCTCTCAGAGTCCACTGCTGTACTGCGCCACACCAGCCACCATTCCCTAGTCCAAAACATGCTCACATCACCACTTTATTGCTCATCCCAGTATCAGTCTCTCGACGCCTCTGTGGGTCCAGACGAACAGCAGCATGTGCGGATCTCTAGTCTCTGAGTACACTATCTACTCGCAACCAACCCATCCGAGGGTATCACTCCCACTGGACCCGCATCAAGCGTAACGATGCGAGCTCACGACATTTCCCGAGCTTCACCCTTCACCACGTCTCTATCCACCTCGCAGATCGCATGCGGTGGTTGCAAAATCAGCACAGCTTAACCCTACCGCTGCGGCTACCTATATCTGTGCAAAATTCAACACAAAAAACAATATATAAAAAAAATGCGTGCGTTGTGTTCCAACGCTGCTCAATCTAGCTCGATGATTTTTACCACCGACGAGTCCCCAACTTTTTGGCACACCACGATTCGATCATGTGCCTTCACAATGCCTGCGGCCTTGCCGTGATCCAACGCTACCTGCGTCACGAGCCACACGCATCAGCAAAGACTCGACCATGTTTACATACCATTACAGTCTACACACCATTTCCCACAGACTTTCACGTCTACCGGACCGCTGCACGCATGGTTTGCGGTGCCGCATTCCGCATCCAGACCGTCACTAGCGAGGATGCAATCATGGCATGAAGAGCAAACAACCAACACAAGGAGAGAATCTATCTGCACCTTCAAAATGGATTCGTTCGTTGTGCTGGCGGAGTCCGACGAGTGTCGAGGGTCGGCCAACATCGGGAACAGTCCTCGAACCGCCAGGCATTGCCGAGCCTGGAACGCGCCCGTGAAGCTCCACTTCAAATGGTTGGTGGTCAGCCTGGGAATCACCACACATAGCACTGGCATGGTGGGACGGTACTTGGCAATCAGGCGTGCGCAGCGCCCTGATGAAGTGAACACCACGATCACCGACGCCCTCACTTTCGAGGCAGCTCGCACGGCGGATGACGCGATCGATTCCAGATGCTGCATCGGCTCCCTCACGGCCTTGATGGTTCTCTTGAAGTACACTGCCTGGTTGAACACCTTCTCCGCCTCCGCACAGATCTTGCGGATGGTGGTGATGGTCTCCACGGGATACAGGCCTCTCAGCGTCTCCGCACCCAGCATGATGCCGTCCGTCCCATCCAGAACGGCGTTGGCAACGTCCGTCGCCTCGGCACGGGTGGGGCGGGGACTGTCCACCATGGAATCCACCACGCGCGTCACGATGGAAGCCTTTCCTGCAGCATTGCACTTCTGCAGCGCCACCTTCTGGAACAAAAACACCTTCTCGGGGGGCAGATCGATTCCTAGGTTACCGCGGGACAAAATGATGCCGTCCGCCTCCTCCAAAATCTCGTCAAAGTGCGCCAACCCTTCGTAATTCTCGATCTTCGCAAAGATCTGCGTCTGGCGAAGATCCCCGAGCTTGTCCAAGTACTCGCGGCAAGCGCGCACATCGTCCGGGTGCCGAGTGTACGAGAGCGACACAAAATCGATCTGGTTCTTCACGCCCCACGTAGCCATGGTCTTCAAATCGGCCTCGCTCAGGGTGGGGAGCTCGATGCGTACCTGCGACATATGGGCCGTGAACAAGCTCCCGGTCAAGGTTGCCGTGTTCTTCACGGTGCACACCACGTCCTTGCCTTGGGTCTCCACGACCTCCAACCACACGGAGGTGGTCTCGCTCCCCGTGAACAGATACTGCCCCAGAAAAATGGTGTCCCCTTTCGTCACCGCGGACGCCAGCCCATCGTAATTCAACGGCAAAACCTCCGCGGAAGCCCCTCTGGTCTCGTCCGCCGTGAGCACCACCGTCGCCCCCTCCTGGAGCTCAATCACATGCTCCTCCTTGTTCAGCACACAAAGCTCCGGACCGATGGTGTCCAGCATCACGGCGCACAGCCGGCGCGTGTTCCGCACGGCCTTCTTCAGGTTCTCCAGCGTCTCCTGGTGGTATGCATCGTTCCCCCACGAGAAATCGAATCGGGCAACGGACATGCCCGCCTTGAGCAGCGCTTCGATGGTCTCCACATCGCGCGATTGCGGGCCTAGGGTTCCGATAATCTTCGTGAGAGCTGAGAATGCTGTAGGCGACGACGGTTCCAGAATGGAGGCCAGCCGGATGGGCTCCTCCAGCAACAACTGAGTGGCCTGCATGGCCGCTTCCTTCCTCCTTCCCTCCTGCAGTCACACACCTCAAAAGCCTCCGCGCACTCAAATACGATGAGCGAGACAACACAGAAAACTCGAATGCGTCTATCGTATGCACGTATCCTTGCGAGAGTTTCAACGACTATGAAGAAATTCAAGGCAAGCAAGCAGGCTGGATTGATTCCAGAGAAGCGAGAAGGCAAATCTGGGAGGAGGCTGGCGTGGCGTTGGCATGCCCTGAAGGGCTACGCTTTCGTCGACGATGCACAATTGAAAAGGCAAAGTAAGTGGATTTAACAATTTCAACAAAATGCTGGAAAGGATTCAAAGAGGAACAGTTTATTTTTTTATTGCTTTCTTCCAAGTCTCCTCCTCCCCCTTTCCACGTTCCGTCTCTTTTTCTTTCCTCTATTCTGCTCTTATAATTTCTTTTTCTGCTTCTTACCTCTACTTTCTCGCGTTAGCTGCAGAGTCCAGGATTGACAACTGCCATAGTACACTTTTTAAGATAAGGTTTTGCGCTGTATTGCGATGTTATGTAATACATGAATACTGTTTGAGTAGAAACTTAACGTATTGGTAACGTGACCACAGTGTTTTCTTTTGTCACAACTTTACTATCCACTGCATAGTTCACACACTTTTTTTTGATACTGTCATCATAAGTTTTTTACTCCAAGAGAAAGAAATTTGTATTTTTGAAAATGTCTTTACTTTTCAAGTTATGCAGAATTCACATGGAAGGGGTTTATAATTCCTTCAGTGTATAAGGTGGCCCCTATACTTAAAATGAGAATATCATTCAATTGGTGATAACTTACAAAGACTTTGTCTTGCTCATAGTAGTCAAAGATAAAAATTATAGACGTCAAGAAAAATAATAAAAATAAAAAACAAAACTGTGGGGACAAATCGTCACTTCCAATTAGAACAATTTTAGAACGACCTGTTTTTCAAAGTTAAAAACCAAAATAAATTCTCTCTGGTTTTTTTCAGTTTTTCAATACTTAAGTTGCTTATTCAGTTGAATGAGTAATTTTACAAACTTAATCTTCTTCACCACCCAAATATTGGCATTCATCCGCTTGTCCTCTTGTGTGAAAAACCTCAAGTTTCTCGACTGGGTTTTCATGTCTGTTGTGTTACTGCATACACCATAATTATGGGATGCTTGACGATCACAATTCGGCCTTGACAGCGAAAAAATCCTCGACTGTAAGGCGATGTCGGTTTGTCATCAGGGCTGCCGATTTCACCAGGGAAGGACAAGCAGGAGGGACGCATGGAGTTAAATCTTTCGTGAGAGCGTGCGAGAGATGAAGAGAGAAAGAGAAAGTGAGAAAGAGAGAGTTGTATCTTAAAATAATATGCCTTTCGGTTGTCTTCCCGAGCAAAGAGGCGTCTTTTCACTGTAGTGCAGACAGCGGGGCGACTCGGTTAGCCATGCGTATCTTTGCCAGCGATCATTTCGGCAGCCATCGCTCCCGACTCTCCGCATTGCCCCCACGCCTCTCCCAATGACCATCTGTTCGTTGTCGATACATCAATCTATTTTCCACAAGCAACCCCCATGAGGTGTCATCCGCTCTTAAATCTGTCATGACGTGCTGAGGTGGACGTTTTTCCGTGATCCTGGAATGGCTTTTGACGTTTGGCAATGAACAACAACGATCGGGGTACTGATGAACAGAAATACACTAGATGATCTCACGAAGAGAGAAGTTAGGGCGAAATACTTGTTTGAATTTCGAACTTAGTGGCACATACATAAATGTGTTGAATACATCAGGATGCTACGAATATCCACGTGCTTTCTTCCCTCTGCTCTAGCATAATGGGTTTCGGAGAGTTCTGCCCTCAAACATGTAGTTGCTTGGACAAGTTATAGATTCTTCATGTGCCACTAGAATCAGCCTCTACTCCTTCGACTCAAAATCCCCACATACATCAAAATTGCTGTTCAAACTTAATAGGAAGGCTTCGAGATTGGGTGTATGGTTTTAAAGGGAAACCATGAGAATCAGTGAAGCTCTGTAGATACCGAAAATACAGGCACGCCTCCACAGGCTCCCAGCACGAACCTTTTAAGTTGCGATGAAGAATGAAATCACAGAAACCAATGCTGAGATAAATGGGAGGGATCTTGTGTGCGTCGAGTAGTCGCTCACGGCCCCACTCGTCGAATTAATTCCAGCACTTGTTGTCCTGGCACCATCAACAATTACAACAACTCATCTGTGTCCAAGCCTCAGCATCAACTCGTGTTCTGATTTCACTGTTGGTTCAATTGGACTACAGTATCGCACAGCTTGTGCGATGTATAATACCGAATTAAAGAATAAGGAGACGCTATAATGTGCATCCCAATCAGCAAAACTCCAAGTATGCCCACAACCAAGAAATTGACACCCATTCAGCATGCAACGGCAATCTTACCCATTTGATGCCGTGTATGGACAGGTCGATGTACCTGCAGCGAGAGACACACGAAGTAGAACAAAGTTAGTTACTGACATTAGCCTGTGAGATCTTCAAAATCGTTGAGAAAGGGTTCACAATTCAGTCGTGAATTCTGCTCCTCGCTACTTTTGACCTTACAGCTAATTCCGGAGTAGTGAGGGAAAAGCACCCAAAACATGCTAAGAGGATATCAGCAGGTACGACGTAAAAACTGCAACCTAAAAGATCTCTTTTACACAAATCCAGACGACATAATAACTCACTGGGGTCAGTGGTGGAGATGACGGCTGTGCCCTGGAAGTCACACGCTTGAGCTGTTTGGCCGTGAGTTTGGTAGTACGCGTTGAAAGCCCAACTAGCATGGCTTTGATATGTATTGGGTAGATAACAGCTTTGCCCTGGTTGAATAGGCCCGCAATTCACTTGTCCTTGTCCGGAAAGCGGTCCACATGCCCAGTCCAAGGCGCCTTGGTAGTTGGCGTCTTGCAGGTTGGGCTTGGCTATACACCACTGCTGGGTTGCTAGCCGCCGTCCATGAGATCTGTCAAGGCTTAGATCTTGCATCGGCACTCCCACTCCCCCAACTCCTGCACAATAGGTATCATACTTCTCAGAACCATTAGCACAAATCGGAGCAGGATGTGCTAATATTCAATTAACCCTTGGTGAAAATCCGTCACAGAAGTCAGATTACAGGCACAGTTTGGGTCTAGAACGTAGGTGCAACAGCGTGACAGCGAAGTCATAAGAATTTCCATTGACTTCCCAGGGACGAAGTGCTCGATGCAGAAGAGCCCTGAACTTGGAGGTACGTGTCACTAGCGAGACAACAATTCTGCTTACGATTCTGTGACAACAGGTTCCGAGGTAGCTACAGTACACGAGAACTTCACCATCTGATCAAAGCACAAAAACAGAATCGCACTTCCACATACAAAGTGACCAGCAACAAACCTAACAGGCAATGTGAAACGAGAAACAGAGCCGCTACAGCCACGACGTGACTCATCGCGGAAATTATCCTCGACACTCCCCAACTCACAGCGGCTACTGCGTGAATTGCTCTGCGCTGAATCGCTAGACGAACGAGCCCAACCTCAAAGAAAAGCAATAGCACGTGTCTGTGCTCTCATAACTCCTTTCCGCTAAGTACGATTGCTCCGGCACCACCCACTACTTCAGACCCGGTTGCCTCTTCCGCGAACCAGCTTAACTCCAAAACTTCAACCTCCGCTCTCCCAACCGGAAAAGGTAACTATACTCACACTGTCGGGATGCGAAGCAAATTACCGGAGGCAAGCCCAACCCAACAGCGGTTGTGAAAGCGACGTTGCAAACCAATGTGGTCAAAACAGCTTAATCAACTGCAGCAGCAGCAGCAGCAGCATCGGGTAACGTGAGAAAGTGGGAACTTGAAGACGATTGATTCCCGAGGCAGATTCCAAGCGTGTCAAGTTTTACGATCGGACCAAGAGCATTTAGTTGGCATGAGGGGAAAACGTCGACGATGGAGAGGAAAACAACTGGCGGCTGTATTGAGGGGAAGGGATCGGAGCAGGAGAACGGATTCATGGATACTGTGACAGATCCGCAGGAGCACAATTACTTAGGATTCCTCTTACCTCTTGAATGTCGGGCGCAGCTAATGCTGCGGCGCCAAAGGACTGATGCGGCCCAGCAACACGCGCGAGAGATCTGTCAGACGGTGCAGGGGACAAGTTCAACCACATCCCTCCTACACTCCACTCTTCCTGTTTTCATTTCTTATTTCTTGCCTCATAAGTTTCTGCATTTCTTTTCACTGTTCACCAATTCAATGCTAATCTTCCAGCTTCACACTACCTTCCTAAAACCATCCCATGGCTTTGTAAGAAATTGCAGCTTTGATATGCTCGGGTAAGGAAATGAGGGTGAAGATGGGTTATCAAACACTGTTTTTCTGCCTTTCACATTGTCAAAATCAATGCTGGAACCTATTAAATCAGAGAGATTTTTAGGTACCAGGCTTATGAAGCTGCTTTGGATGTAAGACAGGTTACAACTGTGTGAAAATAACTCTTAAACTGTATGAGATGGACTCAAAGTTTCATGAGAGTGAAACCATTGCTGACAATGCTTGAAAGCACTGAAGGAAGGAAGCTACCCATGACTTAGTTTTCAGCTCTTTTTGTGCCAAATGACTGTTTGTTTGTATAGTGCATTGGATATTGTAAACAAAAAAATCTGTTTTTTGGTTGAAAGGGATTGATAGCTTAGTATGTGGCTAAGAACAACAATTTGTAACTAATCTTGTGCCATGCTCAGAGGCTTGAATGTAATTGAGCATTTTGTGAAAGTGAGTCTAATTAATGGTTGTTTATTGTTTAGTTTTTAATTGTTGTGAGCAATTACTATGTTAAAAATAAATATTTTTTAGTTGAAGAACAATGGATCAACATCATCAAGCGTTCTTAAAAAAGAGCTGCACCATAGTTCACTTAGTCATTTATTGGGGTATTAAGTTTACATGCATCAAAATACCAATGACAATGTTTAATATAATTATTTTTATTATCACTGTTGTTTTTTAGTAAAATTGTTCTTATGAAAGCCATACACATGAGCCATGTTCCATTTGGCCATGCTTCTATTATGGCAAGTTGCTGTCCTCACAAGGGGGAGCATGCAAGCCAAGAGTTCTAATCCAAACAAACTCATGTTTCTTTTTTCCCCTCAAATACATAGAATCTATTGAAACTTTCATTTCTTTTATCTGTTTATGTTTTTTTTTATTTTATTTAATTCGGCTGCTACCCAAAGTTTCATCAGGGGCAGGCCTCAGATCTGCCCAATAGTTTGGGTGCCAGAGCAGTAATCTGTTAAAGTCTTTAGCTCATTCATCAGAAAGATTGGTTAAACCAAATTGTCCGCCACTTCCAGATCTCCATGGGCCTCAATTTATTCAATTTAATTGTTTCTGAAAAACTCTCTCACGATCACCAGGTACACATTTCGAGGGGCAGCAGTATTTTTTCACAGATTGTGTGCTCCAGAGTTAGGAGCATCACTATCCATCAATGTGCCAACAAGGATAAGACGGCAAGTATCAGAATGCTGGGGTTTAGGGTTAGGGTTCAGAGCCTTGAAATTCAAGGCAATGGACGAAAGTCAAAGTCAGGTGAAAGTTATGAATTAGAGTAAAATTTGACTTGGCTGCATAGTTCCAAGGTGTAAAGTTGGCTTGGGAGAGGATAATGATAATTACAGTGATAAGAAAATGTTATAATAGATGGTAGAGTTTGTTTTAATTGTATGGAGAGCCTAATTTTTTTTGTAAAGGTTGTAAACAGGCATAGTTTTAAATATAAATTTTCTTTAAGAAATAATTATCTTGACACTTGGTGTAAATGGATTTGGATCAATCCCAACTCTCTAGCTGTGAAGAGAATTCATCATTCAATTTATTAATCTAAAAGTGGCTCCAAGTCCCAGTAGAATACCGTCACAAGAATGAACTCAAGTGGCAATATTATGTTTGAGTTGCACAGCCTTCGATTCTGTACAAGTGTATCTCATTTTAGAAACCTATTAGCGCTAAAAAATATATATGTTAATATATATATATATATATATACAATTTTTTTCATCTCAATTTAAAATATAAAATATCATTGTAATGTTTTTACAATATACACAGGTTTACATTCTATTGCATTAAATTATATCAAGTATATGTCTTTAAAATTTCGAAATATTACATTGATAGTGAAATTTTATAATTTAACAGATTTATATGGAAATAAAATTGTACTTTTCATTGACATAATTATATTACTAATAATAAACATTCTTAAGAGAATTAGAGCACATTAAATCAAACAAGTAAAAAAGGTGGACAGTGACATATGGTATAATGTTTGAATATAGAAATTTATAAATTATTTATTATGAAAAAAAGCTGAGAGTTACTTTGAAAGAGATTTTATTTTATTTTATTTTTATATATTATTTAAATGGATTTAGCATATGATTCATTGGGGTAGAATATCGTGATATAATTTTGGAAATAAATAAGAACCAATTTTTAAAAATGATATATCTAAGTTATTTAAAGAAGTAATTAGATACTATTAGGAAATATAAAATTTTCTTGATAACTTAATTGTGACTAATTTTTACACATGTATGTATATTTATATATATAAGAAACCAATAGGTTGATATCATCTTTTATTTCATAGACACCTCTTTGTGCCATGCATTTTTATATACTCACTTGTGTAAAAATAACTAATATTGATTTAAAGTCACAATTCTTAAATTCTGATTCTAGTTATATTTATAAACTTAATATCATAATTTGATATACCCTTATCCATCTGTATTCGATGGCTTCAAATTATCTTAGCCTTTAATTCTTTTTTCCTTGCAATTATTTATCAAAAAAAAAAAAAAAAAAAAAAAAACTATATTTCATTATTGTTATAATTTATCAAAATCAAATAAGAAACAAGATAAAATAAACTTAGTTTTTGCAAAGATATGAATGCAGGAGTGTGTGGCATGGTGACGTGTCTTTACAATAAAAGGGGGTGTACCCATAAATTCTCTCTCTCTCCCTCTCTTTCTCTCTACTATGATAATAATAATAATAAAATTTAAAATTTAAAAATAAAAACAGATTAGTATCATAGAATAATACATGATTTTATAATTTTTTAAAGAAGCGCCATCTATAAATTTCAATTAAATTTTTAATTCTAAACTAATTAAAAAGTAAATATATATAATAAATTGTATAAAAATGTTGTCTAATTATTTAATGTATATTGTGATGAAATATTTTTTATAAAAAATAAAAAATTCAAAAATTGTGTTAGTTTTTATATTATATAAATATCGTCTAAAAATAAAATTTTATTTAATACCTTTCAAAAATTTCATTTTTAATTTTTTTTGTAACAACGTAAATATACACAAAATAATAAGCTAAATGATTTTTTATTTTCTTATTTAAACAAAATTTGATTAATAATTATTATAAAATATTTTACTAATTCATCATTAATTATATGAAAATTTTGAAATCACGTAATTCTTTGGATTATATAAAATATCATATCATATATATATATATATATATATATATATATACACACATATATATTAAAATTCAAAAGTTTTGTATATTACATATTATTTGTTCATGGTGTACATCAAATCATTTAATGTTTGAACTTATCAATTGATATTTTAAATTTTTATAAGATGTTTCTTCTTTAAAAATATTAAAAATTATTCATATGTATCTTATTCATATAAAATATATATTTAGTATTTTTAGAAATATTTTGAAAAGTATTTTTTTCTAATTCTTAGTAACTTTAATGGCTAAAAATATAACTTACTTGAATAAATTGCTATTTTTGAGGGAATTTTTATTGTTTTGATTTGAACCACAAAGAAATAGGATTGATTTGTATTTCAAGCATATGGTAGGATTTTTAATGTTTTAAAGTTTATCAAATTGATAATAGTAATCATTATTATTATTGTAGAGATATTAAAGAATCTTATATATAAATAAAACAAAAAGAAGTCAATATCTATTAAAAAAAAATATATTATATGATAAAGTTTTAAATATATACATTTATTTTTAACCTAAAGATTATACTTTGATAACTTTGGTATAGAATTACAAATAATTGATGCAATATTTGAAGGCCATATAAACATTATAGATTAAAAAGGTATTTACAACTACAAAAGCAAAGTTAGATTTGAAGAGAGAAAGAAAAAGAGAAAAAAATAAAATAAAATAAAAAATAAAAAACAAAACTATATAATTAACTAATTAGTAGTTAATTTAACCGCAACATCCAAATAAATTAAATATGTGCTCTTATTATATATAACTTGTAGTCATGTGGTAGCAAGATTGGGATAGTGGTGAACCTTCTAGGTCACCCAAAGAGCTCCTAATCTAATTTTAATACAATAGTCAACTTGTGTCTTTGAGGTAATAAACGTTAATTTTAAGATAAATATTTAAATATTTCATTTTAATAGTGTACTTTAAAGTTTAATTTTATAAATGTCTTTGGATTAATTTTAAGTTTATAAAAAACTTTGCCATAAGTTTCAATATTACAATTTTTCTTATTAAAATAAATTAAATATTGTCAAAATGTTGTGATTTTATTATTGTTTATTATTTTAAAATGATTTCTTATCGATAATTATTTATTTATATCTTGTATAAAAATCATATATTATGATTTATGTTGTAGATTACAAAAAAATTATAAAGTCATTGTAATTAGAATATAAGTTTAAAGATGAATATTTAATAATGATATTATTTTCATATTCTTGTGATTATATATATATATATATATATATATATATATATATATTTATACATATATTTTAACATAATGTCATGCCACAAAATAAATCTTTGTATTTATGGCATATTATATATTAAGTTACTTGTAGACTTTGTGCCACAAATCTATAAAAAAGCCTAAGTTGGATTATTGATTTTAATTTTTACATCGTTAAGAATTTATCTAATGTTAAGATTTTCAAGTGTCATGAGATTCTACTAAACAAAGTGTACCACATTGTCCTTGGTGCCAAAAACTTTAGTTCCTTTCTACTGGAGCTATGACCATGGTTATTACATGATATACTTTGTCTGGCTTGATTTCATTCTACTTTTTTAAAGGTAAGAGCTTTATATCTACTCACACCTTTGATGATCATTCTTAGGTGTTCCTACTTACAAAGTGGCCTGCGATGGCAAGTAGTTGATATATCTTTGGTTATTAGACTAGGAAAGCTCTTCCTCATTTCTTTGAAGAATTTCCTTCTAAGACTTTTTGAAAAGTTTAGGTGACTTACGAAAAATCTGAGACGTACTAAACGAATGCCTGAGGTTGTTAAGAGAATTAATAATCGACATCCCGAAATACCTTGTGTGCTTATCATGATTTCAGCATAGATGGATTGATCTGAGACTTGCGTATGTTGGAAGTATACTCGAGAACAAGAGAACAAATTAAGGAAACAAATTGATTTTTCCTCCGAGTTAATTGTAATGTAATCAGTAGTGTTTGTGATTGCAAAGCGAAATAGATGAGGTTAGTCCGCAAACTGTGAACAAGGTGCTGCAACTGACGTGCGATTTTCTGAACACTTCAGATGTGGCCTCTGTTTATCATCTGGTATCCTCACCTAACATCAATCGCTTCACGGAAGCGATCGACTGCATGCACTGTGCGCGCCGGCAGAGCTAACAAGGGCGTATCATGCTCTCTACATGTTGATGCACGTTGGTGTGCGTAGAAGGTGTTTTTCTACATAAGAAAGATGAGTCTATGTTGAGTCGACATTGCGCACGCTGAATAAAACCTTGAGAAGCACTCTTAGAATGAAAGCCAGTCATTGAAGTACACGCATGTCTCTGGTGATACAAGGCCACCCGGTTGGCACTCATGCAAAACCTGAAAATTGAACAATAATGTACTTAGTTCTAAAGTTACACGACGTTCGGAGTCAACAAAACATGTATATATCCACAACCCACAACAAAAGCCCCTGTCATATAACTCAAAAGAACACTTACAGGACATATGCCGCAAGGAACGTTTGTAAGTGCTGAGGTCTCAGGTATACGTGCTTTAGCAACCCTGTAACATAAAGTATCCTGCACCAATTTCACAGAATCAATGCTTATATGGGAAACAAGGAGAAAGCAAAAACCCTTTTTAAAGTGATTTCATACGAAAGCAGATCCTCATGATTACTACCAAGTTTACTCACAGAGGAATATGTTCCGCCACCCATAGTCTCCTCGACATCTCCATCCAATACAAGGGTGTCCATGATCTACACCATCACAGGAAGCTCCAATAACTTACATCTTTCCCTTCTATAAACCTTTCAATGTGGAATTTAAGAAATATACTAAGATCTATAGTTCCTGCTTGGCATGAACAGATAGATTGAATAGATAAGACTCACAAAAAGAGCAATATTCAAAAGAGCTTTGATTGAAATTGGTTAGGCTTACGGTTGAAAATTTGGCATTGATGATCAAACCTAGAACAACAATTTCTAAGTAATACGGATTCCCACTATCACATTTAGGATCAATATCTACAAGCTCATCAAATGCATGAAAGAGAAAGACAACTGATTGAGCGCTCACCTGCTTAAACTCTTCCAACCCTAGCTCAACCTGTGTGATACCTGACTTCTTAATAGCATCTGCAATAGCCTCTAAATCGGCTAGTCCCTGCAGGCACACACATGGGGACCCTGCAATGAGACCCCAACCTCATAAGATACCAACTAGAGGACCACCAAAACACCCCCTCCCCAAACATTCATATTTGACACGATCAATTTCTACGTCAAGAAAAGGCAAGATTTCAAATGACGCAAAGGCATCGAAATGAGGTGACTGCCAATGACTTCATGATTTGAGCAAGTTGGAAAAATCCTACAGAGAAAATCGATGAATCACACTGGACATGATTCCAATAACAAGAGGCCTCACAAGAGGAATGACAATGGAAAATGAAATGTTCAATACATAGCTTGGGTGGTTTCAAAGCCTTGCCTGTCTTGTAATGAATTGCAAGCATTGTTGCTTAACAACATCCACAAACTCTGCATCATAGTCTTGCTCTGTATACCAAGCACCACCAGTGACCTCTCGAGATGGAGTTAAGTCAAAGAGCATGTACACCTTGCGATTCTTGTTCTGCAAAAACGTTCATGATTTTAATGTCATTTCCAGTATGAGAAGCATGCCCTAATGCCGAAGAGTCGCATAGCCTCAGGAACAATAGGCCAACAAAACACTTCTATTCGAAGTTTACACTTCATCCGACTTTTCGCGATAGTCATCCATAGACGTGATAACAAATTAGTATCAACGAGTGCGATGACATTGATTAGGGCGCTAAAAAATTTAAGAAATGAAAACTGCACACAATAACATTAATAATTCAGCGGCGAAAAATTGCACAACGAAATCGTACCGTAACAGTCTTTACAGCTTTGACCAAGCTACGACCCTCCAAATTCTTCAACGCTTTATTAATTTGTGGTTGTTGCAAGTTCGTTCTTCTCTTCAAATCTGCAGTCCATATCCCTGTAAGACGAACCGATGGGTAAGTAACTCTTTTAAAGAGATCAAAGTAGTTGCGTTCACTTAATGGAGTACACGTCCAATCATTATATTAATTTGAAATATTAGACAAAACAGTAGCATTTTGTCAGAATTTTCATCCTTCGAATCACCAAAACACCCATTCTTACTTAAAATGAGTACCTTGATTTGCAGCTGCTTCAATCGATTGGTAGACAAGCATATCTTCTGAAGACAGTCCTTTGAACCTGCATACCTTAAGCACTTGTCAGTTGCAAAAAACTTCGCTTCTAAATCATCAAGAGCTTCACTTCTCTAAATAAACCAAAACTGCACTAACTTCAGTTCAAATATTCCAGAAACCAACACTTACTTCACTGCTACATCAGCACTTTGCTCCTTATATACAATATTGTCTCCCTGCGTAAACACTACCAACTTTTGCTGCACCCACATACATTATCTGCAATCAGAACGTCAGAATCATGTGGAATTGAACCATAAGAAAATTTCAGGAAAAAAACCATCAGAAAACTTAGAGTGCCCTTTAATTTCATAAGATATTTTTTCTGGAATAAAGAATTGAGCAGTTGCTGCTTAGCTCTTTAAAATATATTTAGACAGTATGGTTTGATCTTTGAGTGTAGAGTAGGTAGTGATGAATTATGAAATAACTAGACAGTCTAGCAGGCTTCATATGATGAGATTTCTACGCCATAGGAGAGGGACCTCTATTAAAAAAATTCATTGTCCATTCCTTCACTTCATTATCCTAAATCTAATCACGTAAAATTTACATGAAAAAACCCTAATCTTAAACCCCGATGAAAATAGCTGATTGCCATCAAAAACGCACCTTCGAAAGCAAAAAATTGAGAGCTTGGCTCAGCATTTCTAAATCTGGAATTTCTTCATCCAAGACTCTTTGAGGCAATCCCTGCACATTGTTCCCATACCCAGTTTCCCAGCTCAGCCCGGAGAGGGAGAGAAAATTTATGCGTATCGCAATCAAGGACCAAGGACGAGTTCCCTGAAACCATTCTCTCACGAGCTAATAAAACATAATCGGCTAAAAACTTTAGCGGCAGACCAATGAGAAGAAAAATTAGGGCTCCAAACTAAAAGTTAGAGCATTTCACAGTACATCAGGATGCGCACGACACAGGTCCAACAATTTGTTGATGGTTTCACCCAACCCCGGCGCCATGTCGCCTGTTCCTCTCCCAGCTGCACAGCCTGCCTACGAAACGAAACCAGTGTCCTCGAACCCTGAATAACGAGGCCTATTCCCAGAAACGCAGAGTAAGTCCGACACCGAAGCCGTCGAAACGGAGCTGTTACCAATTTTCCTTCGCCTTCAACTTGGAAGAGATGTTGAGAATGTTCTATATAGATAACCGGGCTCTCATGCAAGAACCCGCCTGTAATACCCGCCTACAATACCAGCCATCAGGTTTGGATTGAGGTACCGGTGTGGACTGAGTATGTACAGTGGCGGGTACACTGTGTTGAACACCACGTTATCAACCCAGGTTGCATTGTTCCCCACGGGTTGTGGAATAGTAAAGAATTGGATTTAGTTATAATCCCACTTCTTATGTCCTCATAACATAGTCATAACTTGAGGTTTAATAAAAGGGAATTTACAAATAGAGGAACAAATCTAAAAGTATTTACAAAAAATGGAACAAAATCAAAATAATTACAAATAAGAAAACTATTTTTCTTAGGTGAGATAAGAATTATAGCCATAGTATCTTCTTGCTCTCCGCTCATCTCTTTCTTATCGCTCTCAACCAATCTCATTCACCTTCATTCTTCCATGTTACTCTCTAGAGGTTTTACTTTTTGTTATTTTAACTTACTATCAGTCTTAATCTTTGATACTTTCTATCTTCAATTTTGTGTGTTCTTTGACTTCTATTGCATGTGTTCTCTAGCTTCCAATAATCTTATTCTCTAACCTTTGTTACATCTCTACTTTGATTGTTATTGTATCTACTCTCTATCCTCCAAAAGTTTTGCATCAATTCTTCAATTACCAATAGTTTTGCTTTCCAATCTTTGTTATTCAATAATCTTGTACTTGAACTTTTCTACCCTCTAACCTTTATTATCCAAAAAACTTACATTCTAATAGTTTTCTTCTTTACTATTTAGTCTTTAATCATAAAACTGATCAAGATTGTTACTACATTTTTGACAATAGAAGAGACTTAGAAAGCATAGGATTTCTATAACTAAAAGTCATCTATTTTATATAAATTTAAGAATAAAAAAATGATAAATATTATTTTTATATACTTGATAATAGAATTTTGTACAACTTTTATATCTTTATATTAATATAAAGATAATTTATTTTATATAATTATATTTATTTTACAAAGTAAGTATTATAATACTTATAGTTTTTGGCTTTGTCCAATTGATGATTGCTTGTACCTTCTTTGGATCCATAAAAAGGCCTTTGTTGGAAATAATATATCCAACAAATTTGATTGAAGTGCATGAAATATACACTTCTCCAGTTTTGTATATAACCTAGCACTTTGTATTTTTTTCAACATAAGGCAGACATGTTTTTTGTAGTCTTCAAGATTCTTGGAAAAGATCAGAATATTATCAAAATAGATCACAACAAAGTCATCAAGATACTCACAAAATATATCATTAATTAAGTGTTGGAATATGGCTGGAGCATTGGTAAGTCCAAAATGCATGACATTGTATTCAAAATATCCATACTTGGTGTGAAATGCTATCTTCCATTCATCTCCTTCATTAATCCATACCAAGTTATATGCACCTTGTAGATCAATCTTTGTAAAGATTTTTGCTTGGCTAAGTTGATCAAGAAGTTTGGATATTAATGGCAATGGATATCAATTATTTATTGTGATTTTATTAAGACCGTGGTAATTGACACACATTCATAAGGATCCATCTTGCTTCTTCACAAATAATATCGGAGCACGAGCTGGTGACTTGGAATGTTGAATAAATTCTTAGCCAGATTTTTCTTAATATACTCTTTTACAGTTGTAAGTTCATTTTGAGATAAATTGTAGATGGGTCCAAACAGTGGTTGAGCACCTTCTTGAAGGTTAATTACACAATTGTAAGGACAATGCTTTGACAAGATATCTACATTTTTCTTTTCAAATATATTTGTAAAATCCTTATAAGCCTCTAGAATTATTGTTGTAGCAACCATAGGTTTCGATTGTGGATTTGCATAGAAAGCAAATATAGTACCTTGTTTGGCCACCATCACAAATGTTCTAGCTTTGATAAATAAATATTTTTTAAATTTTGGCTTGTTGGGTATTAGAAGCTTTTTTTATAGATCTAAGGATTCCAGGATCTATTAGAAGAAATTCTAACTTTCATGATATCCAATCTATTCATAGATTATATTTTTTAAGCCATGAGTGTTCTAAAATGATTGGACTTGATGGTAATCTAATGATATTGAATACTACTTGTTTGCTATGATTGTGAAAGATTATTTTTAATGGAATTGTTTCATGAGTGATATCTCCAGAGAATAAAGGTCGACCATCTACTACTTCTACATGTACGGCTTTGGTTTTTTTGACTGTATAAATTTTGTATGATCTAAAAAATTCTTTGTCAATGAAACATGCAGAGGCTCCTGAATCAAGTAATGCATGACAATCTAATTTTGTGACTCCTAACCGTACAAGTATATTAAAACAACAAGCAAGGTTGACAGATGGTATAATATTTTTTTTGGTTTGTCATAGTGAAGAATCCAGTTGTATAGTCTTTATTTGTGGCTAGACGTCCTAGTTTTTTTGCAATACTTTTGATGATGTGTCCACACTCCTCATTCAATATGAATGCTGGCATTTCTCTAAACAATTATTAACCTTATAGTTAAGTTTTTTTCAATATTAGTATAGGCCAAGTTCTCTTTGACACTTTTTTTTCTTATTCAAAAAGAGGTTTGAAGCAAATTGCATCAATCTGCATCTCTTTTGCTTCCAACTACTCATTAGAATTGGGTTGTGAAGAAGCTGCAGAATAATTGGTGTATATATGTGGCATAATTGAAGAACGTTTATCTTATCATCATTGAAATAAAAGGTTATCATACTTCACAGCTTAACTAATGGCTTTATTGAGTATTAGAGGATCTGGCATAGACAATAATAAATCCTTGACATTGTCTCTTAATCTCCAATGAAATTGGCTCATCAATGTATCTTCTCTCCAATTTATATCACATGCTAATTATTAAAAATCTGAGGCATACGTTAATGTAAAGCGGACTCTTTGTTGAAGGCTTTGAATTTTGGTTGTTGAAGAATAAATCTTATCATGTTCATCAAATGCTTCTACAAATGCTGCAAAAAATGTTTCAAAATTGTGCAATATAGGATAATTCTTTTCAAATAATGGAGTGAACTAGAATAAAGCTTGACTTGAGAGCAAGATTCCAACCAAACCAATATGAGAGGCTTCAGTGGAATATTGTTGAGATTGAAGTAAGGTGATTAGTCCTACTTGGTTTATAAAGCTACAAAATTTTGAGCGAGTGCCATCAAACTTTTTTGAAAGGCTGATCTTTGATTCTTTTGTTGTTATTCTTGTCAGATCATTACCCTGAATCGATGCTCCTTCTAGGATTGAAGTAGATATAGTTGTTTGAGAATTAGAAACCTTTGTTGCGATTTGATGTAGTGGTTGAGATACTCTGGCTCTTTGACCATTATATATAGTTATATATAGTTCTTTATTCTGCTTCAACAAATTCTCTGTCTTAACCTTTGATGCTTCAAAAGCATTAATATTAGAATCTAACTTGATCTCTTTTGACTCTGTCATATTGAATTTTTTACCTTCTGCTATAGAAAATCAGAGAAATATACGCCTTTAAAAAGAAATAAAAATATGATCTATGATATAAAAAAAAGAAATTAAAAGAATATTAAAAAAAATAATATTAGTTTAGAAGAGGGTAATCCGCAACCTCTAGAATGCTATAGTACTTCCAAAAAGAGGGGTAGTTCACTCTCTGTCAAAAAAGACCAAGTTCCTAATATTGTTTTATAAGCTTCCTAGGACCTAGTATATATATATGGCATATATTTCTCTAAATTTTTGACCTAGTATATATATATGGTGTATATTTCTCTAAATTTTTGACCTAATATATATATATATATGGATTTTTGACCTAGTATATATATATATATGGCATATATTTCTCTAAGTTCCTAATATTATTTTATAGGCTTTAGACTCCTATATATACTAGGTCCTAGGAAGCTTCTTAAAAAGTTTTTATGAGGCTTAAGAATACAATAAGCCTAAGATCCTTCTTCAGCGACTTTCTAAATCATCTAAAGCCTCCTAAAACCTTCTAGGATCTCCTATGACCTACAACTTTTTTAGAATCTATTAGAATCTTTTAAAATCTTTTGGAACCTCTTAGAACCTTCAAGAGCCTTCTTAAAACCTACTGGTACCTTCTAAAACCTTCTAGAACCTTTTTTAGTTGTATGTCCATGACACTCCTAATGTTTGATGATTTTATTAGAGGTAGGAACAACTCTTTACCAAATTGTATTGTGACATGACTATTGAAACAAGACCAGTTGTGAGTATAAAATTCCACCCCTCAATCCAAATTATAAGATGGCCTCAATTAAGAGTTTCTTGTAATAGGTGGTATGAAGTGGAAGTAACAAACAATAAGAACTAAAGAAGAATAACACAAAACAAGTGAAACAAGTGCAATCAAGCAATTGTACACTACAAAACGAATTACAATTTGTTCTCTAGATTTTTATCTAGTAAAAAGTAAAAAGTAAAAGTAAAAATTATATTTTTAGAAATTTGATTTTTTAATCTTTTCAATGATGTAGAAAACATATAAATCCGAGTTATTATGAGTAAGTTATGAAGGATTGAAAATAACAAGTAAGAAATGGAAAGTTAAGTGAAAAATATTTTACCTCAAGGATAACAACCTCACCAAGGTTCACATGTAGTATATATGGGTTGCCTAAAGAGGCCTTGAGGCCTTAGTCTTATCTTCCTACCTACATCCAAAGTGCTACAACCCATATGGGACTTGTGCACCTCCCTTCTTACAAGGACTATACTAGCTGCTGGTCTTCCTATTTTTTACTAATAGAATTAATATTTTTATATTTTTGACTTCACCATGGTGTTCAAAAATACCCAATTAGCCTAGAAACATTGTGTGGCCTTCTAACCTTGCTCCATTTCTTCATAATAGCTCCCCAAGTGGTAAAACTCAATTTTATCAAGGTCTTAAAAATTACCCTAAAAATTCATAGAAAATTCTAAATAAATTCTAAATAAAT